TGCCTCAGCCTCCCAAGTAGCTGGGACTATAGGCGCCTGCTACAATGCCCAGCTATTTTTTGGTTGCAGCCATTATTGTTGTTTGGCAGGTCCAGGCTGGATTCGAACCCGCCACCTTAGGTGTATGTGGCTGGTGCCTTAGCCGCTTGAGCCACAGGCGCGGAGCCTAGTTTCTTTCTTGAAACAAAGTAGTTGGTATAGTGGCTCAGCCTGTAATCCCAGCATGCTGGGAGGCTGAGGCAAGTGGATTGCCTGAGCTCACAGGTTCAAAACCAGACTGAGCCAGAGCAAGACCTCATCTCTAAAACCCAGCTGGGTATTGTGGCAGGCTCCTAAAGTCCCAGCTACTTGGGAGGCTGAGACAAGAGAATCACTTAAGCCAAGAATTTGAGATTGCTGTGAGCTGTGATGCCATAGCACTCTACCCAGGGAAACACAGTGATACTTTGTCTCAACAAATAGATAAATTAAGATTAAGACTTTATTTTTGTTTTATGTTTGTGATCAGTTTAGGTGTGTATGTAATATAAAAGAGGTTTTTCCAAGAATGAGGTTTCAACTGAAAAGATTTCCTTTTTTTTTTTTTTGTGAGACAGGGTCTTGCTCTGTTACCCAGGCTGGAGTGCAGTGGCATCATCGTAGCTCAAGTACGTAGCACCCTCCTGTTCCTGAGCTCAAGTGATTCTCCTGGCTCAGCCTCCTGAGTAGTTGGGACTACAGGTGCACACTAAAGCAACACAGCAAGACCCTGTCCTCTACAAAAAAAATTTTTAAAACTTAGCGAGGTGTTGTGGTATACACCTGAATTCCTAACTACTCCAGAGGCTGACGCAGGATTGCTTGAGCCCAGGAGGCTGCAGTGAGCTCTGATCACATCACTACACTCCAGCCTAGGTGACAATGACAAGGTTCCTTTTTCTAAAAATAATAACAATAATGTGAGCCACAAATTTTATATTTTCTAATAGCACATAAATAAAAGAAACAGGTGAAATTAGTTTTAATAATCTATTTTATTTAACTTAATGTGGCCAAAATATCATTACTGTGACATGCAGTTACTAATGAGATATTTTACTTTCTTTTTTTAAAATGCTAAATCTTAAAAGTCTGATGCGTGTTTTATGCTAACAGCACATCTCAATTCAGATGATAAATTTTCATCAGAACCACTTAATCGGAATTTAGAGTTCACTTTATAGTTGGAAAGTCAGTTCACATCCTGGAGGTCCTCCCCATGATCAAGACTTCTTACCAGTCAGCATCTGGAGTCCAAGAGGGAGTGTTCTAGGAAGTGAGGGGAGAAACCACAGACCTTGTAAGGCTCAGCTTTTGGAGATATATAAGGTCACTCCTGCCAGCCCAGTTTCAATAAGGAGGGGATTGATTACACAAGAGTGTGGCTGGGTTTGGGGGAGTCACATTCTGAGAATAGCTGCTGCTTTCATCAAGGAAGGATTTTTCCAAATGGATATACGTTTGGGGAAGAACATTTCGGTTTGAGATGAGGGGAAAGTGGAAGAAGTCAACATGAGGAAGGGAAGCAGCTCACTGAGGCTCAGGTGAAGGAGAGAGAGGGACAGAGGACAGTAGGCAATAACCATTTCTGGTTTCTGCAATGAAATCGGTTTCTCCTAAGCCAAACGGCTATCAACAGTCCTGCATTCTCATCCACAGACAGGCTTCCTCCCTCCTTGGCTGCCTCCTGAACCAGGAGTGAGTGTCCACGAACATCAGCATTCCCACACTTCTGAGGCTGACTGCTGAGTAACTCATCATACCTCTACAAATAGTCACTTTCCCTTTCCAGGCAGGGGAAGTAGAATGGCATATGGGGGCCTCAGTGCCAGTGGCCAGTGGCTTTTGAAAAGTGTCCAGGCTGAGCTTAATGGCTCATGTCTATAATTGCACCTCTTTTTGAGGCTAAAAGTAGGAGGATCACTTGAGGCAGGAGTTTGAGACAAGCCTGGGCAACAGAGCAATACCTTGTCTCAAAAAAAAAAAAAAAAAATTACAAAAAATTTAGCGAGGCATGGTGGCACACGTCTGAAGTCCCAGATACTCAGGAGTCTGAGGCAGGAGGATCTTGTTTAGTTGGCAATCATGGAATACATACAGATCCTGCTGCAAAACAAAGAGCTACCAAGAATGGATCTTGGATTTCCAACAATTGCTTAGAAACTGTTATGAGGAATTTTATAATATCACAATATTCCTACTACAATATTACAGAGGCCTACAACTCTGATGTCTGTGGATGTACATTATTACTGAGAAGTACTAATCTAGAGAAAAGTGAATTTGTTTTACGAAATAAGATGGTATAACAAAGGAGAGGGGTATTGAACTTCCTCACAGGACTAATCACTGAAGTTTCATCAGCTTCAATGAAAGAGTCTCACTGTGCGTGTGAGGGTGTGTGAGCGTGAGCGAGTGCATGTGTGCATGTGTCTGTGCATTTATATCATTGTGTGCCTTTATGAGTATGCATGAGTGTGGTGTGTACAAGTGTGAGTGCACATGTGTTTGACAACATGTAACCGTGCCTGCATGAGGGTGTGTGTGCCTGTGTCTGAGTGTATGTGTCTGTATGACTAGTCGTGTGTGAGTGCCTATGTGTACCAGTGTGTGGGCCTAACTGGGTGTCTGTATGAGGGTGTGTCCAATGTGAGTGTGTGGTTATCATGCACAGCTGTCTCTGTGTGTCTGCATGAGGGAGGGCACGTGTCACTGTGAGTGTGTGCATGCCAGTTTGTGTCTGTACGAGTACAGGTGTGATTGTGGGAGCATGTTTGTGTGTGTGAGGGCATGTGAGTATATAGATATGTAGTGTTTATGAGAGTGTATGCAGTTGTGTGCAAGGTGGAGGTGTGTCTGCATGTGTGTGAGTAGGTGTGCATGTGGGGTGTATCTGAGTGAGGGTGTGATGAGTGAGTGTGTCTGCAACTTGCCAACTTGCATATAGCTGTCTGAGACTAGCAAGTGGCTCTGCAGTTACTGGGAATTGAGGCTCCTCCCCTCCCATCAGTCTGTCCCCAGAGACCTCGGCTGCCGGCCTGCCCAAGGTGGTGGCTCCTGATCTCAGCATTCCACTCAGGGAAGAGTGTGCCGCCTCCTTTCTTTTATGGGCAAGGCACAGAGGTGGCCCCCAGTCGGTTTTGCCCTCACCCCAGAGGGCAGCCATATGGCTGTGCCTCACAATCATCTTTAGGTGAGGGGTCTGGGAAAGGAGGTGATCTTCTGGCGGCCACTGGCACTCCCAGCACAGCTGCCTTGGTGTGTGCAGAGTGTGTGTGAACTATCCCAAAGTCCCTGGAGATGGGACATTCCCTGTCCTTTCCACTTGGCAGAGCAGATTTGGTGAACAAATCTTTATTTATTGAACACATATTTATCTGCATCATTCTAGACTTTCCAACTGTCCTTTTCAACAGATTTCATCTGCTTTATTCAGCTATGTCCCCAGAGTCTAGCATGACGCCTGACATTGGGGTTAGGGTCATGACCGATTCATAGGCATGTGCAGAGGTGTGTGCATGCACAAATAAATGACAGGGAAAGACAGCAGCAAGTCCCCTGCCCAGGAGGCGGTTTCCTCTAGCAGTGGGATGGGAGTGGGGAGGCAGGGACTGCCAGTGATGTCACAAGAGGTGGCTGGGATGGAAAGTTCTGGAAGGTTGAATGGAGTGGAAGGCCTGTTGTGGAAACAGACCACCCCCCATCCTACCTCTCACCCCCACTATCATCCCGGCTGGACCTAGAGGGTGACAGGGGCTTGGAAGGGGCAGCCCGAGTTCAGGTTGCCAGGAGGGGCTGTCTTTACTGTCCTTGCAGAAGAAAACACCCGAGTACCCAGATGTCTTTTTTTCTGAAGCTTTGCTGTGATGGCCAGAACCACACCTGGAGAACAGCGGCAGGTACCAGTGGTAGGGGAGAGGGGCACACATTTTTCTAATTGACTGCTGTGAGAGTTCAAGAAAATGATTGATTTGTGAATATTTATCTTCTGTCTAGCCACCTTACAGGACTCCTTGTTTCTATTAGCAATAATCGCGCCTCGGATAAACCTCATTGGCTACGATACTGCCACTGCGCAAAGCTAGGACTCCTTATTTCTAATAGCTTTTCAGTTGATTGGCTAGTGTAGGTAGTCAATCATATCACTTGCAAAACAACAAGTATGTTCGTGCTCAATCTTTTATTTCTCTCATTTCTTTTTCTCATCTTGCTGCATTGGCTACAAACTTCCAGGTCAATGCCGAATAGTAGCAGTGACAGCAGATGTCTTTGTCTTGCTCCTGACTGTGTGGAAATGTTTCTAGTGGGTTTTTTTTTTTTTTCTTTGCTATTCTCTTTTTCTGTTCACTTTTTGAGACAGTCTTACTCCATTGCCCAGGCTAGAGTGCCCTGGTGTCAGCCTAGCTCACAGCAACCTCAAACTCCCAGACTCAAGTGATTCTCTGCCTCAGCTTCTTGAGTAGCTGAGATTACAGGTGCACACCACTCCACCTGGCTATTTTTTTTTTTTAATTTTTTGCAGAGATGAATCTTGCTCTTGCTCAGGCTGGTTTTCAATGTTGATTGATTTTTTCCCATTGTTACAATAAACCCCACATGGCCTTTTAAAATTGTGAATCATATACATATAAGATAATGCATAAACCATGTCTACAATAATTTCATGAACAGCAATAAATATCTTTGTGCCTCTTTAACTTCATTAAATAAAACATTGTTAGTAACTAATAAGTCCTCAGTAGGTTTTTCTTTTATCTCATACCTCATATCTTTTATCTCATATCTCATTTCTTTTATCTCTCCTCTCCCTCACCTGGAGGAGGTAACCAACCACTTCATGAAATTCCCGCTGAACTTTCCCCCATAGTTTTACCATTTAAACACATGCTAATTTAATGTTGCTTATTTGTAAACTTTATATCAATAGAATCATACCGCAGCCTGCTTCTTTATCAGCCTCATGGCAAGATTCATCCAAGTTATTGCGTATGTTCCTTCATTTTCTGTATGGGATTCCACAACTGATTCATCCATCTTCCTATGGATGGACATGTGGACTGTTCCCAGTGTGAGATTCTTATGAACACTGCTGTTGTGAACATTTTTTTTCATGTCTCCTGGAACAAACATACAAGAGATTCTCTTGGCTTTATACCTGCAAGTGAAAATGCCAAGTCAGAGATATGTATGTGTTTACTTTTGACAATTCATACTGCATTGCTTTCCTGACTAGATATGCCAGTGCTTAGCTCCCACCCTCAGTGCATGAGAGTTCTCATTCTTTTTTCTCACCAACATTTGGATGCATTTTTTGCATATCTACTGGAGGTGAAATGATTTCTCATTGCCATTTTAATGTGCTTTGCCCTAATTACCAAAGCATCTGAGCATCCTGTCCTGACTTTATTTCATGTTTCCTATTTTGAAGGAGAAGAGGGAGGGAGATGTGGGTATCTGAGGGGAAGAGAATTCTAGGTAGAGGGAACAGCCTGTGCAAAGGCCCTGGAGCAGGACTGTGTCTGGAGTGTTGGAGGGACAGAGAGGAGGAGCAGAATGAGGAAGAGCAGAGAGGGAGGAGGAGAGGACAGGGAGGGACAAGGTGGCTCACACAGGCCCTAGGGATATGGAGAGAGCTTCGGCTCTTACACTGAGGGAGATGGGAGCCATGGAAGGTTGTGGGCAGGGAAGAGGTGAGGTCAGGCCAAGATTTCATTTTCAAAAACTCTTATCATAGAAAGTTTCAAACACACACAAAAGTAAAGTTGGTAGGTGGCGCCTATAGCTCAGCGAATAGGGCGCTGGCCCCATATACCAAGGGTGGCGGGTTCAAACCCAGCCCTGGACAAACTGTAATAAAAAAATAGCTGGGCGTTGTGGTGGGTGTCTATAGTCCCTGCTACTCAGGAAGTTGAGGCAAGAGACTTGCCTAAGCCTAAGAGCTGGAGGTTGCTGTGAGCTGTGATGCCACAGTACTCTACCGAAGCCGATAAAATGAGACTCTGTCTCTAAAAAACAACAACAAAAGTAAAGTTGGTAATGTCATGAACTCCCATGTGTCTCTTACTCACCTCCCACAGCTGTTAACACAGAATTGAACTTGTTCATCTCTACACAGCCCCGCTCCTCCTGAATAGTTTTAAAGCAAGTACGAGGCAGCACATTATTTCATTTGTGAGTTCTTTGGATACAAGGATTATTTTCTTTAGTGTCACCCCAAAGCTTTTATCACACTTTCAAAAAAGCATCATCTTTTCTTCATTTCTCTGTATCATCCAGGATGTGGTCAGTGGTTGCCCTGAATGCCTCAGAAACATCTTTTTTTGAATTGGGATCCATCCAGAATCCACACGGTGCCCCTGGCTGATGGGTCCTCTCCCTCCCAGCAGGATCCCTTGGGCTGGCGGGAAGAAGCTTGAGTCCAGCCATGTGGCAGGCTTGCGACTTATTTTGAGGCTGAGCTGATGGAATTAGCTGATCAAGCAGAAGTGTTTTGGGGAGAGAGTGAGGGAGGGAGAAATTAAAGAAGAAAGGAGGGAGGGAAGAAAAAGAGGGAGGCAGGAGGAGAGGAGTCAAGAATGACCCCAAGGCTCTGGGCCAGGTCCTGCTGCTCCAGGGGGACCTTGGACTTCCTTCTAATTCATTCTTAGACTACACATTCATGCATGTCTTCATCGTGTGTATAAACTCCATGGAGAATCATCCAAGTTCACTTTATAACGTCCCTTCTTAGAAAGCAGTTTCCACTGAAATACAAAGTCAGTTATTGCTGGTATAGAGTCCTATGCATATGATGAAGCTTCATTTGTTGAGTATTTATTGTCACATTGTTGCCTGCCTAGTCTCTGAATTCACTGGCAGAAACATTTAGAGTTCAAAACACATTACTGCAAATCTAGAATTTAGAACAGATGCTTGATTTTTGGAATATGCACACTGTTGATTGTGAACATAATAATACAATGTTTCTCCCTGAAAACCACTGGAAAAATCAGTTTCAGTAAGTGTCAACCAACGATTTAGCTCTCACTTCCCCTAGGGGACTCTTGACTCTATCTGGAGACATTTTGGATTGGAAAAAATTGACATAATGGATTTACGATTTTAATGAAACACTTAGAGGAATTTAATTAAATGAACAGGTGTGACCAATGTTTTGCAAATGTCGAGACATTCCGATTCATCAGATTTATAGGCTCATTAAATGATATTCTTCTGGCTCTGCGCCTATAGCTCAACTGGCTAAGGCACCAGCCACGTACACCTAAGGTGGCGAGTTCGAATCCCCAGCCCGGACCCGCCAAAGACGCTGCAAGCAAAAAATAGCCGGGCGTTGTGGCGGGCGCCTGTGGTCCCAGCTACTTGGGAGGCGGAGGCAGGAGACTCGCTTGAGCCCAGGAGTTGGAGGTTGCTGTGAGCTGTAATGCCACAGCACTCTACCCAGGGGGACAGCTTGAGGCTCTGTCTCAAAAAAAAAAAAATGATATTCTTCTAAATATTCACATAACTGTGATGGTTTGGTAGGACTGTCATAAAAGACCACAGACAGGGCAGCTTGACAGAAATTTATTTCTTTACAGTTCTGGGGAAACAAAATTCCCCAGAGATCTCCCCAAGATCAAAGTGGCCTCAGACAGCCCCCTTCTTAAAGTGTTCTTACATGGTGAGAAGAGAGGGAAAGTGAGGTTGGTGTTTCTCCTCTTTTTATAAGGACACTGGTTCTATCTCAAATTAGGTCCTAACCTTAATTACCTCCTAAAGCCCCTGTCTCCAAATACAGTAATCTGGGGGTTAAGAATTTGACATGGGGGGATGCAGTTCAGTTCATAACAATAAATATTACATAAATGTTTAGAAACACGTTGTGTAACAGATACCAGGATTAACACACTGGAATCAAACAAACTTAAAAAGCGGTGTTTGTACCTCCTCATGTACAAAAGCCCTCAAACAGTGAAGGGTCCAGTTAATAAGTGTGCAAAGATGGAAATCCTCTCTACTGATGAGTCAAAGGTCATGTGCTTTAAGTCTGATTATTGGCAAATATATTCCAAAGAGATTGCATTATTTTTACTGCAATATACTAGAGTCCCTGTTTCCCTGCATCCTTAGAGAATAGGGTATTCTTAATCTTTTTGATTTGATTTGATTTGATTGACTTTGAGACAGAGTCTCACTCCATCACTCTGAGTAGAGTGCTGTGGTGTCATACCTCACAGCAACCTCAAACTCCTGGGCTCAAGTTATCTTCTTGCCTCAGCCTCCTGAGTAGCTGGAACTATAGGTACCCACCATTACACTTTGCTAGTTTTTCTATTTTTAGTAGAGATGGTGTCTCACTCCTGCTCAGTGGTCTCAATTCCTGAGTTCAAGAGATCCCCCTGCTTCCGCCTCCCAAAGTGCTAGGATTACAGGTGTAAGCCACTGGACCTGGCCAATCTTTATTTTATATGAAAATTGCATCATAATATGCTCTATTATATTTCTCTTATAACATATTGAGCACATATTCCTATTTTCAAATGTCATTTTCATTCTTTCTTTCTTTTTTTTTTTTGAGACAGAGCCTCAAGCTATCCCCCTGGGTAGAGTGCCATGGCATCACAGCTCACAGCAACCTCCAACTCCTGGGCTCAAGCGAGTCTCCTGCCTCAGCCTCCCAAGTAGCTGGGACCACAGGTGCCCGCCACAACGCCCAGCTATTTTTTGGTTGCAGCTGTCATTATTATTTGGCAGGCCCATGCTGGATTTGAACCCGCCACCTTAGGTGTATGTGGCTGGCGTCTTAGCCACTTGAGCCACAGGCACTGAGTCTCAAATGTCATTTTCAATTTTATTTTCAGAGAATTATCTTTTCATGTCTTTTGTCTGCTTTCCCATATGGTTTTTGGTCTTTTTCTTACTGATTCATCAGTCTTTTATATACGAAGGAAATCAAGACATTATGTATTAGATGTGGCCATATTTCCCTCAACTTGTTACTGATCTTTAGATTTTGTTTACTGAGAGATTCTGGCATAGATCCAGGGTGAGAATCGGAAAGAAAGGAGAGGCCAGGCCAGGGACAAGAAAGGATTTTAACAGAAAGGAAAAGGAGAATGAAAACTAACCAGTGTCAGCTCTGCTCCCACACAGTTGCAAAAGGCTTTTATTAGTCTTCTTAGTATGGCTGGAATGGGGCACTGCGCTCAGAGTGCCACCCAGGGTTCTTCTCTAGTGCCAGTCAGGATTATGAGCGTATCCTTAGGGTTAGGACATGGGTGGGGTGTTTCCAGGAGACATGACCAGTGGATGAAGAAGTTGGCCTTGGACCTAGAGCATGTCTGCCAATCCTGCCAAATTCCCTACTTTTTGCCTTGCAGAAATGTGAAGAGTGGTCTCTGCTGACCTGGAAGGGCTGAAACTGTGATGACTCAAGGAGGAGTTGAAGATCATGCAGCAGGAATGAGTGAAATATAAGGTATGTTGCCCTAGAGAGTGTGGGAGAGAGAGAGGCACACTGGTTCCACAAAGGCTTTGTAAAGGAGTCTGGACCTACAGAATAAGGACCCAGCCATACTTTTCTCAAGCCTCTGGCTTTAGCCAATGGGGCCTGACCATGTTATGGCCTATTTTCTACTCCTGGTAGAGTGTGGAGGTAGCATGAGCAGGTGGTTGACAGTGTGGATCTGGGTCCCTTTTTTTAGGGTAGAGTCTCTGTTGCCCAGGCTAAAGTGCCATGGTATCATTACAGCTCACAGCACCCTCAAACTCTTGGGCTCAAGAATGCTCTTGCCTCAGCCTCCTGAGTAGCTGGGACTACAGGCAACTACCACAACACCTGGCTACTTTTTTCTGTTTTTAGTAGATACAGGGTCTCACTCTTGCTCAGGCTGATCTTGAACTCCTGAGCTCAAGTGATCCACCTTCTTGGGCTCCTAGAATAACAGGATTACAGGTGTGAGCCACCACACCTGGCCAGTGTTTGTGTATTTAATCTATGGCCCCAACAATTCTTAGATAAGCATTCTAAGCCAGTCATGGGCCTTGGTTGGGCACCTCTGTAGAACTGCAAGGGAGAACCTACTCCACGCCTACCTCCTACCTCCTGGTGGATCCTGGTAATCCTTGGTAGCCCTTGGTTTGTAGGCTCATGACTCCAGTTCCTGCCTTTGTCCTCACATCTGGGTGTGTTTCTATAGCTTCTCCTGTCCTTACAATGGCACTAGTCATTGGATTGAGGGACTCCCCTAAATCCAGATGATCTCATCTCATGATCCTTAACAAAATTCACCTGCAAAGACCTTATTTCCAAATAAAGTCACATTCGGAAATTCTTGCTGGACATGAATTGGGGGATTCCCGTATTCAACCCGCCACAGTCATTAAAATGTCCCAGCAGTGTCCAAGTGACACTTTCCACATTTTTTTACTATTTTGAGACAGAGCCTCAAGCTATCCCCCTGGGTAGAATGCCGTGGCATCACAGCTCACAGCAACCTCCAACTCCTGGGCTCAAGCGAGTCTCCTGCCTCAGCCTCCCAAGTAGATGGGACCACAGGTGCTCGCCACAACACCCAGCTATTTTTTTTTGTTGCAGCTGTCATCGTTGTTTGGTGGGCCTGGGCTGGATTTGAACTCGCCACCTTAGGTGTATGTGGCTGGCGCTTTAGCCACTTGAGCCACAGGCACTGAGCCACCTTCCACATTTTTGTTCAAGTTCTCTTCTCCCTCCATCCTTCAAGCTAGAAGCCTGGAGCAGTAGTCCAAGGAAGGCACAATGAGGCACACTCTGAGTTCCTAGATGGCCTTCTCCCGACCGCCATCTTCCCTACCAGGTTTCCTTCCTGGCACTGGCTCCCAGGCGTGACTCTCCTTAGGGAAGCAGGTTGAAGGGGCCTGCCTCTAGGACAGTGGTTTTCAATCTTCCTAATGTCTCATCCCTTTAATACAGTTCCTTATGTTATGGTGACCCCCCCAACCATAAAATTATTTTGTTGCTATTTCATAACTTTAATTTTGCTAGTGTTATGAATCATAATGTAAATATCTGATATGCAGGATGATCTAGGCGACCCCTGTGAAAGGGTCATTTGACCCCCAAAAGGGTCATGACCCACAGGTTGAGAACCGCTGCTCTAGGAGCTAGTCTTCCTTTGATGAGGGTTGTTATGTTCTAAATTGTGTCCCCTCACCACCGTGCCATCCCAATTTATAGGTTGAAGTTCTAAATCCCTAGTAGCTCAGAATGTGACCTTATTTGGAAATAAGGTCACTGAGGATCCATTTAGTTAAAATAAGGTCATGAGAGTGGGTCCTGATCCAATATGACTGGCGTCTTTCTAAAAAAGGAAAATTTCTGGCTATACACAGTGGTTCATGCCTGTAATCCCAGCACTCTGGGAGGCCAAGGCCTCCTCACTTGAGGTCAGGAGTTTAAGAACAGCCTGAGCAAGAGTGAGACCCCCATCTCTACTAAAAATGGAAGAAGTAACTGGGTGTGGTGGCAGGTGCCTGTAGTCCTAGCTACTCAGGAGACTGAGCAGGAGGATCGATTGAGCCCAGGAGTTTGAGGTTGCAGTGAGCTATGATGATGCCACTGCAGCCTGAGGCAACAGAATGAGACTCAGTCTCAAAAAATAGAGGATTTAAACACAGACATAGAGGAGAAGTCCATGTGAAGATGAAGGCAGAGATTGGAGTAATGCACCCACAAGCCAAGGAATGCCAGAGATTCCCTGCATCCATCAGAAGATAGGAGGGACGCATGGATAAACATTCTTCCTCATGTTCTCAAGGGGACCCATCCTTGCTGACACCTGGATTTCAGACTTCTGACCTCCAGGATCATGAAAAAGCACATTGCTGTTGTTACAGCCACTCAGCCTAGGGCATTTTGTTGTGACCAACCTAGCAGACTAATACACTGGTCACCCTAGTGTCTGCTGATGACTATGTGAGCCTACTGCATCACTGGTCACATGACCAGCCTGGTGCCAGCACCTTTAGGAGCCCAGCTATCAGGTCCACATCTCGTCAAGGGAAAAAGAATAGGTGGATGTGCAATTTTCTTCCAATATAGCTGCCTCCTCTGCCATTTCCAGCTGCTCCCTCTCAAGTAGACCCGGTTCAGCTGAACAAACTCAAGGTCACTCTCACACCTCAAACATCCTCTCTTGGAGGCCAGTTTTCTGATCTCCTCCACTGACACAACTCATCTACCATTTTCACAATTCTCCAGATCTCTCAAGCAGGAAGCAAGTCTTATGCTAAAGATCAGGGCTCAGTTTCCCCTACAGACTAGACTAGACCATGGTGAATCATGTACTAGCTCTTACATCTTCTCCCTGGGAGTAACAAGTATCAGTCACTTCTTACATTTCTTTCTTTTCTTTTCTTTTCTTTTTCTTTTT